CCCCCTTGGGAGTCAGTCACTCAGAACGTATTACAATACTTAGCGTTTCAAAAATGAGGGGGGGGGGGGGAAGGAAATAAAGTGCAAGTGGGAATCAGCCAGTTCTATGAATGCTAATAAAATAGCATGATTAAAAATGAGACAACACCGGGGCAAGAATTGAAACCTTTGTTGAAGTACCGAGGCCAGATTATGTGAGGCTAAAATTAAATAACATTTCCCTCTTTCACACCCAAAACACGAACGTAAAAACATGCTCACACACAGCAAAACACTTTCACATCCACTTTTTGTTCCTATGTGCATTTTTTGGGGTGCTTGTGGATAGTTTGCCATTAAGAAAACAAGCTAACGAGGCCATTTGAGGGACCAGCACAGAATAAGATGCGCTTTTGTGATCATATGTGTGTGTGTGTGTGTGTGTGTGTGCGCGCGCACGTGCATGTTTGTGTGTGTGATGTATGCCCGTCACCTGCTTGTTAGGGCGACAGCAGAGGATAATAATCCGCAGAAGACAAATGATGTGCTCCCCGATGCCCTGCTGTGTCACCCTTGAACCCCCTGTGCGCACCCCCCCCCGCTCCTCCAACACCACCACCACCCACACCGACATCTACCTGATGATGTCTGTGTGACTGGTTGCCTCTGCCTCACAGTCAAGAGATCTGGCTGAGAATCTCACTTGGAACATCTCTGCGATGTTGGCATATTCTCCTGGGAAGTATTTTATAAGATGTCCTTAATTCACGAGCTAAAACTTCCCGTCGAAAGTTTCTGGAAAATTATTGAATATTTTCTGAACTGCAAACATCTGAAAGACAGTTTACGGAAAGTTTCTGGAAATTTACCGATTTGGCACGACAGTGGATGTGGTTTCTACGTCTGCCTGACACTCAAGAGATTTGGTTTGGAATCACTGTTGGAACATCTCCGGTGTTTTCCTTGTGGCATCACAGTGGCCATTAGCGGGTGGTATGTCAGCGACTATGTTCTGGGGTTTGGACACATGATGGGTGTCCTCTAGGTCAGGGGTCCCCAACCTTTTTTGCCCCACGGACCGGTTTATGTCAGACAATATTTTCAGGGACCGGCATTTAAGGTGTGGCGGAATTAATACAACAA